ATAGCAGCTGGAGGATATTTTGCTGATATTATTTGGCCTTTGGTGAGTATAAGTGCCTAGAATCTTCTTGCTTAGGAAATCACTCAGTACTTGAGTCATTTATTCAGCATGTTTACGAGACCGTCATTGGAGAATGAAGGTGAGTATGAGGGAGCTCTTGCCCCCGAAGACCCACAATCTAATGGGGGTGGGGGTCACGTTACCCATTGCAGTGCCCAGTGAGAAACCAAGGGACGCCAAGACAGGCATGAATGAGTGATACATCCTGGGATAGTCACACAGGTGCCTTTACTACTGGGGCCCAAGTGTTGGGAGCGGCAGGAGGAACTCACAAGGCCCGGAGGCCCTGCGGGGCAGGTTGGGCTCTCAGCTGGCTGGGCACTCACCAGTTTAGGGATTCTGGGAAGAAACTGAGGTTTGGGGGTGGGTGCAGGAGTGGGAGGGCTGAGTGCAATGCTTCTCCTGGACCCCAAAATACGAGCAAACTCTGAGGACACTGGTAGCAGCTCTGATGAGTTTGTAAGACAGTGGTGAGACCACAGACCACATCTGTGACTTTGACGTCTTCTGGCAGATGGATGGGAAGGGAGTGAGTTGAGTGAGGGGTCTGGGATATTGCTGGGGCCCAGAGAGAAGTGGGGGGGGCTGCCACACTCTTGGAGCATGCTCATCCTGAGATTGGCATCGCTGTGACCTTCTGGTATGCCATTGTCTCCCCAAACAACCGGAGTGCTCGTCGAGGGCAGGGGTGATGTGCCCCTTCTTCCAACTCCTCAACCCTGGCAGGCACCCATAGATTTCGACTAAACTGGAAGGATAAATGTCAGTCAAGAGAACACGCTCGTACCCGACAGTGAAGCAGACGGCTCCATAGTCTTGAAAACTCCTCTTCGTCCAGCCGCCCATCCACTTTCAGCTGGCAGGCAGTTAAGAGTTAACCAGTCCAGGCTGCAGTGAGCAGTGGGGCTTGGCGGGAGCAGCCCCATCCATCAACCCTAACACAGGCGCAGCCGTCACCTGCACGAGGCCCCATGTCAACCAGCTCCCGCTGGGTCTGTGTGCAAGGGTCCTGGCTTAGATTAATTCACAAGGGAAAATGGACAATTGGAAGGGAAGAACGCCTCGAGAAAGAGGACCATCGTCATCACCCGCATCCCGAGGAAGAAGGAGAAAGAGTCCAGATCACAACCTTCCCCGTAGGGAGGGACCCCAGCAGGGAGAGTGGGGAGGAGCAGGAGCGGTCGTAGCACCTGCCAAAGCTGCAGCAGAGGTGAGTGTGCAGAGCATGAGCTGGAGGGGAGGGCTCATGCGCCCACACTAAAGCCAGGTCTGGTCTCTCTTACGACAGGTTTAATAGGAACTAATGGAAGGAAAGATTCCATCCCTGAGGAGGTGGAGGGGAACTGCTGGGTCAGGAGGAGAAAGGGCAGAAAGAACCTGCCTGCTCTGCAAGGGTCCAGCAGGCACGGCCAGGCTGTGTGGCGGCAGCCGGCCATGTGACTCCTCTGTGGGGAGGGGCGGCCTCTGAGCAAGGCTGAGCCCCAGCCGGCAGAGACAGGGCCTGATTTATGGCTTCATCCAGAAGCCCTGTGTTTGACAATGGCCTGCTTCGCATTTCCAATCGAGCCTGGTTAACTGTGAACACACAGGCCCTGTCCCACTCAGAGGCAGCACACGCCCAGGGGAAGAACCACCCGCAGCAGCTGGTGGAAGGCACAAGTGGAGGGAGCCAGCTCTCCTGTCCAGCACCCCCGACCTCGCCCCCCGCCCCCCCAATGGGTCCCACAGCGGGGAACTGGCTCATTGAGATGAAGTCAGGGCAGGAGTCAGGAGACCAGCCCGCTACGTGCGGCCATGGAACTTGGACAGCAAGCTGCGCCCACCTCAGGTTTCTCTGCAAATGCAGCCTCGTAGTAAAAAGGACAATGTTGTGTGGGCCAAGGACCTTTCTACGAGTCTCAGGGGTTCTTATAACTGAACTGGGGCTTGTTGAATAAGGGGTTTCAGCAGGGAGGGCTCCTCCAGTGGGAAGGGGGGCGTGGCATCTCCCACTGGAGCCACAAGGAGGCCCCGTGGAACACAGACAGTGGCCACTAAAAGGCCAGCTTCAAACCAGGCACCTGCTCTGAAGACTTTCTGGCAAACTGCCACCTGCTCTGAAGACTTAGTCGCTCTGAGCCCATGCCTTCCTCTGAGTGACGGTCTGGTACTTACATCACAGGGGTTGCTGCAAGAATTACAGCTCGCATGCGCAAAAGATGTCTAACAGAGGATAACTCCTACCACTGCTGCCGTGGTTAGTGGCTTAATGCAGAATCCTCAGAAACCTCAACGGAACATAGAGCCAGGAAGGAGCCATAACACGGAGCGCGAGAGAAGCGATCTCTACTGGCCCAACTCGACCCCAGGGGAGCTGCAGAGAAAACCTGAGACGTGGGGGGCGGTACAGGGTGGAGTGGGGGCAGCAAAGGATACATCCATCAGCGCCACCATGCTCCGGCACTGGTCCAAAGAGAAAGTGTCCTCTGGGCGTCCTGAAGAGGAGAGAAGGGGAAGGAGGCTGGGATGACACTGGATGGCGGCAGGGGGGTCGAGGTGGCGGGCAGTTTGGCCTTACCTCTCAGGAGTTCCTGGTTGAGGAGACGCTGAAGGCGCATGGCATCAATGTCCACTCCCTGGTGGGAGCAAGAGAAGAAGCAGAATCACACGGGGCTCGCGCTGAGGGGTATGGGTATGCTGCCTGGCTCTGTACAAACACTGGGTTTCCAGGTGCTACTCCCCAGCCTGTAGTGCCCAGCCCCCTCTGGCAAGGCTTCGCTCCTGATGCTCCAGCAGCACTGACAGCTCCCTCTCCTGACGCCTGTGAGGCGCGCCCATTGCTCCCACCCCTGACTGGACCCAGAGCAGCAGGGTTTGCCTCCTCCCC